TGTTGCCGATGCATGGCCTGTTGGAGTTCCGTTTCCAGGACGGGGTCAATATCATAGGGACCTTGGGGGAGATGCCGTGGATGGGCGATATAGGCGTATAGGCACACAGCTCACTCGCATTCGTGATGCCATGGCTAGAGGGGACAGGCCCATGGCTCTCAAAGGTCTTGGCAGGCAACGTTCAGCCGTGCACCGCTCTGGGGTCCTTTCAAAGGCGCTGCGGAGATGCTCCATCGCAGGGGCGCCCAATAGCAAGATCCAGCAGCTCAGGATGTCCTTCCTTAACGCGGGTGCGCGGTTCAAGCCATGTTCGTCAGTGGGCCTCTCTCTTATGTGTGCAGAGAACGGTTGGCACAACGATCCCCTTGTCATTGCTACGTCTGATGCCATGCACACGTACACGGTGATTATGTCCACTGGGACGTTGACTTCATCGCTGGTCTCGGCGCTGATGGCTTCAGCTCTCCCGTTGTTGGAGGATCCGCAGGCCTGGTTGAAATGCAAGAACCCCATCGCGGCGTTGATGCTCAGTCTAGACCGAATATGTTGGAAGCTGCTGGACCCGTTCACTCTCCTTGCTGATGAAGGTTTATCGTGGGATCTCAAGCTTTATTCGGCTAGCTGGATATCTCATATTGTGAAGCTGGGAGTACGGAGGCAGATAGACCGTGACGCTCTTGCGGCTATGCAAGGAGCGGGCTCAACCAGGACGGGCCCAATCTCGTGGCAGCCGATATCGGAGGCGCTTCATGGCAAGCGACTCTCGCCTCATCAGCGTCGATCACTTCGAGGTGTGATTACGGGCGGCCATTGGACGCAGGTCAGGATTGCCCGTGCATTCACTGGACACTCGTCACGATGCACAAGGTGCCAGTCGGCGCCTGGCACGCTATTCCATCGGTTCTTCGTGTGTGACGCGTTTGCGGCTCAGAGACGGCAGCTCTTCCCTTGGAGGTTCAAAGGGCAGCGCACATTATGCTCAGTGAACCTGGAGATAGGCATGATCGATTCGCGCGGGGACTTCTTCCACACCCAGGGCAAGTATTCCACGGTGCAGGCCGTTCCAGTCAACATGATCTGATTGATGTGGATCGGCGTGGGATCACGTCTGTCGATGGCGGAGTTGTGTTTGTGGACGGCAGCGCCTTCTCGACCCGTGTGCCTGAGTTGCGGTCAGCGGGGTGGGCCGTCACGGTCTACGATGCTGAGCGGCGCAGAGTTGCGCGATATCACGGCTCCGTCCCGCGGTGTGAAGGGCCAAGTCAAGTGGCCCGAGACGGCGAGGACTATGCGATCATGAAGGCCAGCCAGCTGGTCATGGGCTCATATCAAGTCATGTCAGATTGCAAAGGATCGGTAGGATGTTGCCACAGACTCGAGGTGGCAAGCGGGCCAGGCACTGCGAAAGCACACCTGTGGAGGCGCACGAAGATGAACGAGGATTTCTGCCGCGCGCCCGTTTTGCACGTCAAGGCGCACACGAGCATGTCGGACGTCAGGGAAGGAGTCATCAGCCTGTTCGATCGAGCTGGCAACATGGAGGCCGACGAGTTGGCCAAGGCTGGGGCCTCCTTCCATCGAGCGTCGGAGGTTCAGGAGCGCTTCGTGCGGGGCGCCATGCGCCTTCACAGGATGTTGCTTGGCTACATTGCACAGTCCGGGGTGTGGTTCCACGAGCAGGGAGATGACTTTAAGGACTATATTTTCCCCGAGCCGCAGGAGGACGATCTGGCCACTCCTCAACAGAGGGCGGCGGTGAAAGAGCCTCTGTTGCCGCGGCCATGGTTGGTGCAGAAGCACGCGCTGCTGGAATACCCTGTGGTTGGACACGACCGCTCGCTGATCTTCTGCACCAGCTGTTGCATGTACTCGGACACAGGCAGCCTCAACCATCGGGGGCTAGACAGCGCCTGTTGCGGCACAGAAGGGGGCAGTGGCAGGATTGTGGAGAACACGAGGCACTTCAGCAACCTCAGACATCCTCAGTCGCTGCTCAAAGACATTTCGCATGAGGACGCTCGGAGACCTTCTGTCAGAATTCGAGCCCTGATGTGCAAGTCAAAGGTTGGCGGGATCCGCTGGGAGACCTGCCTGAGATTAACTTCAGGCCCAAAGGTAGAGTCCGAACAAAACCCCAGCGTTACCTGGATACTGGCTTGATTTTGAAAGACCATGGTTTTTTTATACCCTGAAGCATTGGAGTTGGGTGCTCCACACGAGTCGGATAGCGATGGCGAGGTGGGCCCCGACATGGTATGACGGGTCGGCGAGGAGGCCGACAATAGTCAGGATGGTGAGTGCCAGCCCACAGCGGGTGAGTGCCCCTCAAGGGCGTGTGGCTGGATGGTTTGATGTCTGGATGCGGTGTTTGACCCTCGCAGGCCCCACCAACTCGTTCTCGATTTTCCAGCCAGGGCGAGGCTCGGTTTGGCCATGCCCAGGCATTGCGCGAACTCGTCGTGGTTTGCCGTGCGGCTCGTGCGCGGAGTTGCATTTCTGCGACACGCTCGGGTTCCACGTGCTCCTCTGTGGCGTGGGCCACGTGCTGCACCACGTGGACTCGGGCTCCCCGCTCGTGTCGCTGGGAGCCCTGTGGGAGCTCTTCCCCGCCGTGGCGGGCCTCGTGCAGGTGAGCACGGGCCTGCCGCAGGCCCCGTGCTCCCTGGCCGCCCGCGCGGCCGTTTGTTGGGGTAGGCATGGGGAGCGCCCTGGTGCCTGCAAGGTGGTCCTGGCCTTCGGGCTCCATCGTGCAGGTGCTAGGGGAGGGGGTCGGTGGGTGTGACTGCCCTCCCTCTGCTCTATCCAACTGCCCCTTGGCTTTTGCTCGCTCGCTCCTCCTCCTCCTCCCCCTCCTCCCCCTCCTCCTCCTCCTCCTCCTCCTCCTCCGTCCCCCTGTTTTCCATCTCCTGATGCTGGCTTCACATGCTCCTCCAGCTGGCGTGACAGCGCGTGTGTGCAGCTTGAAGGATGCGTTCTCTCCGTCCTCCGTGGTTCCCCGGCACGTTCCCTCTGCACGTGCTCCGCCAGTTACAGTTGACATATGCCAGCCAGCTACACCAGACCCCTCCCAGAGGATCGCAAAGTGTCGCAGTTGCAAAAGGAAAACGAATTGCTCCGGATAGCGAAGTCTCTAGAAGCACGTCGGGGATAACCCCCTCAGGTTCGGTTGCTGAGGGCGCGGCCTCCACGCCATGCCCTTATGAGCACGGGCGGGCTCCCTCGCGGAGGGCGCGCGACTCCGGCGTTCGCTTCCACTCGCACCCTTCCGAGGCGGCCGATGCAGAGACAGAGGCTGGTGGGGAGACCGCGGGGGGAGAGGCAGCGGCGGCAGGGCGCCGCGCTGGCGAGCGAGCAGTTTTGCCCAGATATCTCGTTCCCCGCATGGAACATATCCTTATCTCTAAGAGTGGCACCGCCTGATCTCGATACCATGCCGCTCTTAAGAACTCTTTCGGTGTGTGAGGGCGCATTCCTAGGGATGCCATCGCACGTGGTCCTGTCAACCTCACAGGTAGGGACAAGATCGAGGCCGGTTGATCCGCCCGCGGCAAGCGTGGGCCGGATTGGTCATTGAATTTCGGGGAGCAAGACGTGGCATAAACACAATTTCGCTGCACTCCGCGCGGCGTTTTTGGCTCGGCGCTCGGCCCCCCCTGGCGGCGCCTCCGCGCCCTCCGTGCGCCAGGGAGCGGGCCCAGCGCCGAGCCAAGATTTGTGGAGGACGATCAATGGAGAGGAAACATGTTGCCAAACAATTTCCAGATGTCTAAAACATGTGTTAAACATGTTTTAAGCATGTAGATGTTTAAAACATGGTTCGAATCTTTCTTGTGCATCTTACACACACATTTTTTATTCGATGATAGGACTGTTAGGGTGTCCATTGTCGTGGCATCCACAAGCCCAGCGCCGAGCCAAGACATCCGAGCGGACACGGTACCGTTTTGTCTGGTTGTCCTCCAGGAGGTGGTCGACAACAGGGAAGCCGCGGGCGGCAGAGCTGCTCTGCCTCGCCGGGTGGCGTCGGGCCACCTGCCTGCGAGACGTGCAGTTTTCAGGAGGGAAAAAACACACAGACACAATTAATCGTCGACTCCCCAGAAAATATGGGAAAAGATGGGAAGTGGGCTGGAAGACAAACACATAGAAAATGCAGGGAAATATGGGGAATCTTTTTATTTGTGTGTATCTATTTGTGTGTCCCAGGGCCCCTTTAAGTTTGTCGTAGACGCAGGTCCCCCGCGGAGGGTCCAGGTCATCTGCGAGCAGTTCTTCTGCGAGTAGTTATTCTGCGAGTAGCTATTCTGCGAGTAGTTATTCTGCGAGTAGTTATTCTGCGAGTAGTCGAACGCGCTCGTCCATGCCTGGGAGGCCACGTACACGACGTGGGCTCCCGGGGCTGTCCTCGCGAGCAGCTGGCGTTCCGGGGGCCTCTTGCTGGGCACCGCGGCGCTGCCCGCGCCGGGGGGGTGGGTCAGGTTCGCCGGGTCGTTGGCCAGCGTGCCCAGTAGTGGAGTCCCCATCAGGGGGGCGTTGATAAAACGACGCGAAGATCGGGACAGCATCGGATCGGGATAACTCGAAATCTCTGAGAATCAGCGGGTTTGGAGGATGTATTGGGCGCCGCGGCCGCTCCAGAGCGTTCCGGAACGCTCTGAGAGCGCTCCGGAACGCTCTGGAGCGATTTATCCCGATCTTAGCCCTGTTTTAGTTGATTCCCGACCGATGAGGCGGAGGATAAGGGCCAGAGGAGAAGAACAGCACACGCAGAAACTTGCAGAGGCCCCACGGATTGTTTGCATCGGCGTCGGGCCCCCCCGTAAGCACTTGGAGCTCGGTAGGAGGGGGAGTGGGAGAAACACTACGGGGGCATGGCGGACGGAGAGGAGGCGGCAGTATTCATGTCTCCATCGTGCATCATGTTGTTCTGTCTCACCTCTACGCCGCTCTACGCACATGTCTCGCAGTCCTCTCTTCGCTGTGCCCGTTACCGCCGAGAGGTGTGCGAGAACATCTTCTTGTTGATATATTGCGTCGAGATCTTCTTGCGCATCTTCGCATGCCGATGGGACACCGCACCTTTCAACTCCGACTCTTTTGGGCCCACGTTGCTCCATTGAGCGAAGAAGAAATGTCAGCATGCATTCAACTCTTTAGAGTTCCGCACGGATTTCTCGGGTCGGCGTCGAATCACCATTGGCGGCGCCTCCATCGCAGCCCCTGGCACGAAATCCGCGCAGTTTTCCGAAGTTGATGTGTATACCGACGTTTCTTCTTCTATCATGTTTAGCCACAGGCCTCGCTTCGCGTCTCCTCCTCCTCCTCCTCCTCCTCGTCTCCCTTTGACGTCGGAGTGTGAGTCGAAGTTCCTTTTACCCCCCCCCCCCCCTGCAGGACAGTGATAGGTTTCGCTTGGCAGGTGAGGTAAGCGAGTAGAGGCTCACATCCAGATTCGCCAGGCGTCTTCACAGTGCACGCCGCTCTTGATGCCCAACCCAAGTGCAAAGACGCGCCTTCGCGCGCTCGCTGGAAAGCTTCCATCAGTACTTTACTTTGGAGATCTTGCGATGCCGCCCGTCCTTTGCAGTGGGCACGCGACTTGGGACACAGGCCTGTCATCGAGTGCCCCACCAGCATTTCTGATCCCCCTAATGGCCAGTGACCCCTGTGGCACCTTACGAAGCTCAATGCCGACCTGCTGCAGTTGTGAACTCCTCTTCGTCGTCTTCCTTGTCCCTCCCCCTCTTCATTTTTTGTTTCTGATTCATTTTTCTATGATCCTGCCTCTGCCTCATTCCTCGTTCCTTCCCTTTACTCATCACTCCCCCGCCTCGTCCCTCCCTCGTCCCTCCCTCGTCCTCGTCCTCCTCGAAATTCCCGTGCCTTCCTCCTCCTCCTCCTCCTCCTCCTCCTCCTCCTCCTTGTACTCCTCCTCTTCCTTGTCCTCCTCCTTCTCTCTACCTGCCTCCCTCCCTGCCTCCCCATCCCGCGCTGACGCGCGCGCGCCAGGACGCCTTCGCCAGCGGCTGGGTGAGATTCGACGCGTTGCTGGTGGCCGCCCGCGGCATGTGTTTCGTGCCTTATGATTTGCTCCTTACGAGGAGGGCGTTGGAGACGGAAGAGGATGCGTGGGAGCACGAGGAAATGGAGGCGTGGGGCGCGGGAGGAGGAGGAGGAATTTGAAGAGGAAAAGGAGGGCGTGGTTGTTGGACGGGGATCTCGTCGGCAGGAGGAGTACCGATCCAAAACATGCAACATCGTGAGCAATCCATACCAGGGCCCCCGCTTTCTTCCTGCATGTTTCGAGCCAGATCGATCTGTGAGGGTTCAGGGCCCAAATTAATGCTAGAACGCCCGGCTCGAATAAAAATGCGACGCCCAGATCTCAGGGACCTCCGCGGGGACCTCTGAGGGCTTGGTCGTAGTACTCCTCCTCCTCCTCCTCCTCCTCCTCCTCCTCCTCCTCCTCCTCCTCCTCCTCCTCCTCCTCTTCCCTCCTCGTCCCTCGACCAGGGGGTGGCTGCGTCTTCGGGCGCAGGCACACAGCGTCGGGGTCCCTGCCGCGCCCCTCGCTCTCTTCCCTTTCGCCTCCCTTTCTCCGGCTCCTCCTCCCCCTCTTCCCCCCTCCTCTCTCTCGCTGGAGGGTGGGTCGAGGCACCCCACTCGATGGAGCTTCACGATGGCCTGAACCTGTGGTTTTGTGGGGTCTGCGGGTGCGATGGAGATTCTCAACTCAGAGGTCTCGCCGAGTCCTCTGAGGTCCCGACGAAGATTTGGAAGGAATACCTCAATCGTATTTCGCGTGGTCTCTCGATTCAAGTGCTCGCTTCGGGATCGGTCTTATCTTATCTCGCCTCTTCCAGCACGCACGCTGCGCTTGCCAGAGCGCTCCAAAACCTAGCCGCTCCTCCCTCCGCCTCCTCTACCTCCTCCTCCTCCTGGCCCGCGAGGTGTTCGTCGGCATCTCCGGGACGTGGATCCTCCCCGTGGTGACCCTGCTCTTCCTGCCCACGGGCGGCGGCAGCGCCGCCTCGGTGCGGGCCCCAGGGAGGCGTCGAGGGGCGCGGGCCCCTGGGGGGCAGGTTCTGCCCTCCCCTCGCTAAAAAAACGCGGGCCGGTCAGTCCCCTCTCGCTGGCTCGGGTCGCGAAGCCTCGTGGAGCCGATCCTCCTCCTCCTCCTCCTCCTCCTCCTCCTCCTCCTCCTCCTCCTCCTCCTCCTCCTCCTCCTCCTCCCTCGCCGCCCTCCGCAGGCCTGGGTTTGGGAGCTGCTCCGTGGCCCGTTGGGGACTTCGCGCGCGGCGGGGCCCTGGCCGACCCAGGCCTGTGCTGACCCGGTGGAGTGCGTTCTCGAGTGCTTCGGGAGCCTCGAGACGGGGGTCAATGCAAACGGGGGTCAGCCAGAGCGCCCGATCTTGCAGGATCCTGCAGGGCCAGGGTCGCATTGGCCCGGGTTTGGGTGCAGGATCCTGCAGGATCCAAAGGCCTGGCTGACCCGGGTCTGGATAGACCCGGGTCAGAAGATCCCCGAGTGCTGCTCGTGTTGACGCGATCTTGTTTCTGGTCGTCCTGGAGCGTCGGGAAGCCGAAAAGGCGAGAAGGACCGAATCCTTGAACCACCTTAAGGAAGCTATTGGTTTTTGCTTCTTGGGGCCCTGTTCGGTGGCCGCTTGGGGCGTCTTTCACCGAGCGCGTTCCACTACTCGCAGAGTGCCTACTCGCAAGCGTCCGACAAACACCATGTCCGCTTTGATGTAATTTTATCGTAGATCCCCCGCGGGGGATCCAGGCCATTCGCGAGTAGTTACGTTGCGAGCAGTGGACCGCGCTCGTCGAGTCCTGGAGGCCTTTGGGGCCGTTTTGGGGGCATTGAAAGTGTACTCCAGATCTCGTAATAAAAGGGAGGGGGTCTGGACCCTCCAGGACAAACCGTCTCAGACCTCCCCCGTGGGAGAACCCTCCAAAACATCGTCCCCAGACCCCCCCAGGCCCTCCAAGATAGCCTGGAAGAGACCCCCTCCAAATGAGACCCCCCTCCCTTTTATTACGAGATCTGGAGTATGTGAACGACCTCTCGGCGAGTCCATGCCCTCTGGGAGCGCCCTGGGCGGGCGCCGCGCTCTCCCTTGAACGAAGGATTGCAAAACAACCGAAGGATTGCAAACAAAAACCCTTGAGCGAAGGATTGCAATCCTTCGTTGTTTTTGCAATCCTTTGCAATCCTTCGGTTTTTCTGCAATCCTACGACTTCTCGGCGAGTCCATGCCCTCTGGGAGCGCCCTGGGCGGGCGCCGCGCTCTCCCTTGAACGAAGGATTGCGAAAAAAAACAAAGGATTTCAACAAAAAAAAACCTTGAACGAAGGATTGCAATCCTTCGTTTTTTTGCAGTCCTTTGCAATCCTTCGGTTTTTTTGCAATCCTACGACTTCTCGGCGAGTCGGTGCTCTCTGGGAGCGCCCTGGGCGGGCGCCGCGCTCTCCCCCTGAGGTCCGGCCGCTGCAAGTTCGCTTCTGCACGGGGCGCGAGGATGGACCTGTGCGCCGCAGCGTCGGACCTCAGGGGAGGAGGAGGAGGATGATGAGGAGGAGGAGGAGGAGGAGGAGGAGGAGGAGGAGGAGGAGGAGGAGGAGGATGGAGGATGGAGGAGGGGAGGGAGAGGGATGGAGGGAGGGAGCTTGGGAGAGGGAGGAGAAGGAGGAGGAGGAGGAGGAGGAGGAGGAGGAGGAGGAGGAGGAGGAGGAGGAGGAGGAGGAGGAGGTCCCCAGTCACGCTCGCGCTGCGAGATGCGCGGTGGGAAGTCGTCCGCCGTCTTCGGCCTCGGGGGGGTCCCTCTCCTGGCCTCCAGGGCCGTCAGGACGCGGCCCCGGGGGTGCAGAAGCGGCCTCCGGGGTCGTCCGCGACCCATGGGGGAGCGCGCGACGCTGCTAGGGCACCACGGCGCCGGAGCTCCGGGCTCCTCGCCCTCCTCGCCCTCCTCCTCGCCCCTGGGGCTGCTCCTGCTCCGCCCGCGGCCCTCTTCCTCGCGCGAGTGGCTGCCCCGTCGCCCCACCCCCCCCAGTCTCAGGAGGGGAAAAAACACACAGACACAATTAATCGTCGATCCCCCAGAAAACATGGGAAAATATGGGAAGTGGTGGGGACGACAAAAACCCAGAAGATATAGGAAAATATGGGGAATCTTTTTATTTGTGTGTGTTTATTTGTGTGTCCCAGGGCACCTTCAAGTTTACGCTCGTGGCCTCTGGCCGCTGCTCGGGCGGAGGCTGGGGCTTCTTTGAGGGCGGGACCTCTGCGCAGCCTGTTGCCTCGGCTCCGCGAACAGGGGGGCGGGGCTGTTCTCGAGACCTGCTTTCCGGACGCCCCTCGCAGCCGGTGTTCTTGTGGCACCGGGGGCCCCCCTCACAGTTTCTAGGCCTCGGGTCTTGATATATTGTGTACGGTTGCGCGGATGCAGGGCGGTTCGCTTTCCGACCGATCACACAAGGCCTGTGTCTCCCCCCATCGCTATCCCTTTGCCATGCCATCGCCACTTGCCTAGTAACCAACATGGCATGGCTCTCTCTCCCCGTCCTCCCTCCTCATCCTTCTGGCATTGTCTCGCAAGTTTAGTGGCGACGCGAGTAGTTTCGCATTACAATATGACGTGTAAGATGTGCGCGGTTGCCGGCATGTACGTTGCAACAGAGCTCACCATGTCGGCGAGGAAAACATGTAGGCATTTACCGCACTCAGTGTTTACCGACGGTGGCGAAACTATAATATCCCACGACTTCTTTTCAACGAAAGTGTATCCTAGCTGAAAGAAGCGCTCATCACACGTTGGGGGACCACTCGTATGGGTACATCTTGTGCGGCCCGCTGAGTCCCCAACTTCTGATCCCACCCTCCCAGTACTTTTCCCCATCCTCATCCCCCATGTCCTCTCCTTCTCCTCCCCCCCCCTCCCCTCTTCAATCCCCCTCCTTCTCCTCGAAGCGGACCCTGCCAAGCGACGTTCCAGGGAGCAGGCGTTTACAGCCGGCCTGTAACTTGTTTGGGACCTCTCTCTCTCCCTCTCTCTCTCTCTCGAAAAACTGGCATGGTCGCATCCGACACAACTCCAGAACTCTCAGGGGCAACTTTCGGGGGTGGGCTCAGGGGTGAACGCATCGACCCCCCAATCGCCCATTCATCGCGGATGGGGGGCACCAGAGCCCACCCCGCCCAGGAACGACGTGCGGATTCGCCATTGGGGGCCTGTCGGCGGTGCATCGCCGATTCCAGCGCGATACTTCCCCCCTTGAGCTTCAGGAGCAAAAGAAGGACGCACACGTACATGATTTCACGCTGGTTTTGAGAGTACGCACTGCGCGAATGTTCGTATCACGCGGCCCGTCTCTCGGATCGGGGGGCGTGCACATGTACACAGTTGGGTGCGTACGTCCTTTGTGGCTCCCTAGAGCTGGTCCCCCCTGATATGTTTTTTTCCATTTCTGGTAGTGGTCGTTACCCGGGAGCGGGGGGGGGAGTGGCAGGTAACAGTGACGCTTGGGCGGGGTGGAGGACGTCGGTGCGCGGGTGCGCTGCGATCGCCATAGCCTGCGCGCGAGCACCAGTATGTGCGGGGGGGGGGGGGATCCGCATCCCTCGGCTTCCTGCGAACGCGGTGGGGATCCTCGCCTCCGCGGCAAAAATAAATGTGTGTGGGGGGGGGGATCCCCCTCTCCCACGTGCGATCGTCACCATTTTTTCCTCACGGGGAGGGAGGGAGGGCCCGGGTAATGACCGCTACTCGCCAGAGGATAGCTCAGAGCGTGAATTACCTACCCCGCTTTCGCTTCCAGGCAAGACCAAGTCATACCATACGCCTCCTCGTCAAGCGGCCTGACCAGTACATGCCGTAGTTTGGCATCGCTTGGTATCTCTTGGAAGCGAGGGTGGTCAAAAGCGAGGTAGGTTTGTTTGCCCCCTAATAACACGAAATAATTCCCACCTCAACGTCACCACGCGAATTCCTCCTACCCGTCCGCAGCTCGGCGCGCCGAGGTGCCCATGGTCCTGCGGGTGTTCCGGCTCGCGCGGCTGGCCCGGGCGCTGAGGCTGTTGCCGCACTTTCGGCCCCTGTGGATGTTGGTCCTCGCGGCGAGTTGGGGGGGGCGAGTTTTTGTTGTTGAGAGGCGTACATGTGAGTACAATGTTCTTGTCTCGGTTCTATATATAGATATGGCATACGCATGGTATGACATGCATATATATATAGACATATAGTTTTAGATGCCATATCATATATGCATATTTGTGCATACGTTGTGTATGTGTATGGACATGTGCGTGCTGAAACGTCAGCTCCATGAGAGTGAACTTTGTCGTGCTGCTGCGTGCCTGTGGGATTCGTCGTTTCCGCAGCACGCCAAGAGTACATCAAAGGCAGAGTAAGCAGGAGGAGGACAATCATGAGGATGTGGAGGAGGAAGTACCGCCTTGTCCTGCTTCTCATGCCTATCTCGTCCCTGGTCCGTCGTTCGGCAGCTTGTGTGCCCAGGTGGAGGATAGGGAGATATGGATGGGTAGGGCGCCTTTGTGGGCTTGAAATGGCTTCCGTGGAGGTTACGGGGAGGTTTCATGGCACTTTCGCTGTCTTCTAGCTCAAGCCCTCGTGTTTGAAGATCGTGGAGGTGTCGGAGGATATGGTAAGGGTGGGGGAATCGATCCCCATCCTCCCCCTGGCTCCGCCGCCTGCTTCGCCTTTCTCCTCATCATTATGCTCATCCCTCTCCTTCCTCATCTTCGTCGCCCTCGTCCTAGAGGCCTGAATTACGCTACCGAGGAACCCCACATACTTAACTTAAATCTGGTGTGTTTGCTTAAGTTTATAATATATGCGCAATTCTGCGATCTCAGCCCTCGTCGCGAATGTTCCCATATGTGTCATCCAACGCCATATTCCTTGAACCTCCTTCCTCTTCCTAGCCTTCTATCCTCCGTCGAGGACAGATTCGAGCCAGCCAGTGGCCGCGGTGAGGGACCACCCCCTGCGCACCCTCGATGGTGTCGAGAAAGTGCCACGCCTGCTATGCCCTGGACGACCGTCGTGCATAGCGGCCGCGGTGAGGGACCACCCCCTGCGAAGCCTCTATGGTGTCGAGAACATGCCGCGCCTGCTATGCCCTGGACGACCGTCGTGCATAGCAGCCGCGGTGAGGGACCACCCCCTGCGCACCCCCTGTGACGTCGAGAAAGTGCCACGCCTGCTATGCCCTGGACGACCGTCGTGCATAGCGGCCGCGCTGAGGGACCATCCTCTGCGCACCTCCTGTGGTGCCGAGAAAGTGCCACTCCTGACACGATCTGCGAGCGTGTTACGGATAGAGGCCCCGCTGAGGGACCACCCTCTGCGCACCCCTTGTGGTGTCGAAAAAGTGCCACTCGTGCCAAGACCTGCGAGCGTGTCACGGATAGAGGCCGCGCTGAGGGACCACCCTCTGCGCACCCATTGTGGTGTCGAGCAAGTGCCACTCCTGCCACGATCTGCGAGCGTGTCACGGATAGAGGCCGCATTGAGGGACCACCCTCTGCGCACCCCCATGTGATGTCGAGAATGTGCCGCGCCTGCCACGCCCTGCGAGCGTGTCACGGATAGAGGCCCCGCTGAGGGACCACCTTCTGCGCCCCCCCAGTGGTGTCGAGAAAGTGCCGCGCTTGCCACGCCCTGCGAGCGTGTCACGGGTAGAGGCCCCGCTGAGGGACCACCCCTTGCGCACACCCTGTGGTGTCGAGAAAGTGCCACGCCTGCTGTGCCTGGACGATTGTCGTGCATAGCGGCCGCGGTGAGAGACCACCCCCTGCGCACCCCCTATGGTGTCGAGGAAGTGCCACGCCTGCTCGCCTGCCGCATGGCTTGCCGTGTGTATGTGTATGCCGTGACACGCTCGCAGGGCGTGGCAGGCGCGGCACTTTCTCGACACCCTCTGCGCACCCCCATGTGATGTCGAGAATGTGCCGCGCCTGCCACGCCCTGCGAGCGTGTCACGGATAGAGGCCCCGCTGAGGGACCACCTTCTGCGCCCCCCCAGTGGTGTCGAGAAAGTGCCGCGCCTGCCACGCCTTGCGAGCGTGTCACGGATAGAGGCCCCGTTGAGGGACCACCCTTTGCGCACCCCCTGTGATGTCGAGAAAGTGCCACGCCTCCTGTGCCTGGACGACTGTCGTGCATAGCGGCCGCGGTGAGAGACCACCCCCTGCGCACCCCCTATGGTGTCGAGGAAGTGCCACGCCTGCTCGCCTGCCGCATGGCTTGCCGTGTGTATGTGTATGATGCGTGTGCGGCCATATCGGAACATATCTCACGTGTTGCCCAGTATGTCGTGCAGACGTCTTGGGTGTATGATGCAGTGAACATGCGTCTTGTATGTGCGAATGTGTGCATGCGTGCGGCTGTGTGCGAGTGTGTGGGTGAGGAGGCGGGAGGTGTGTGAGACGCGGGTGCGGCGCGGCATGGAAGAAAACCAGAACCCCACGAGACATGTGGGGAAACATATTCGAGGGTCACGTTCAGCTTTATAGCCAGCTAGCACACTTTGCAACTATCATGTTCGTCCCCTCCTTCTCCTCTGCATGTGTCTTCCTCCTCCTCCGCCCTCTCATTCCCCATTGTCTTCTCTCACCTCCATTCCCTTCTTCTTCTTCCTGGCCGTGTCGTTTTCGTTATTCCCTCTCCTGCGTCCCGCCTTATCCTCTTTTTTTCCCCCCTCCTCCGGCAGCCCACATGATGATGCCCTCGACCGCGTTTCCGTCTCCTACGTTCCCTCTTTTCTTCTTCTTCTTCATTCCCCATTCTTCTGTCCCTTTGCAATCCTTGCAATCGTCTTTCCCCATTTCTTCTGCGGTATGGTATCACTCCCCGCCCCGTTCTTTTCCTGCCTTCTGCCCATCTACTCCTCCTCGTCATCGCATTCCTCTTGTTGATCCTTTGCTGAAGCCGTAAGGATGATGGTGCCTCCTCTTCCCCCGTTTCTCCTCCTCGCATCTTTTCTCCATCATCGTTTTCCTCATCCCCCTCCTGGCCCTCTCGTTCACAACCTCTTCTGCAGTCTACGGAGTACTTCATTCTCCCTTTCATGTCCCGTGGTTTTCGACATTCCTCCCGCCTCTTCCAGCCTAACCCGTCTAGCAGACGGCATCCTACGAATCCCTCGCCCCGTCCTGCGCCAAGGTCCACGGGATGACCTCCTCCGCTTCCACCATCATGAATGTGTTTGTGGCCCCCGCCTCGGAAGAGGTGGCCTGGCGCCGCAGGCCAGGCGACACAACAGGATCCATATGGTCTCCATGGTGCAACAGATGCTCGATGTTGGCGATCGTGGTTTCCACGGTGAAGCCTCTGATTTCGGCGACGTCGAATCGCTTGGTGGTTCCTGTAATCGTCGTGGTCCAGTCCTTGATGATGCTGATGTTCGATGGTCCAGCGCTGGGTGTTGGACAATTGAATACATTATAGCTAGTTGGAGTTGGGTGATAGAGAGACCCCCATGATTTGACTCCGTTGCTCACATCGTTTTGACGAGGGCCTTGCTCATGAGGTGGTCGCGTCTGTGTGTGCGTGTGCGTGTATGTGTGTGTGTGTTCTAGTATACCGCTGCAGAGGGCGAGGACATGTCAATGACATCTGGGAGCATGCCGTTAAGTCGAATGTCATTTCATAGGGGTCGCTCCCTGAGTAGATCGGCCCGTTGGGGAACGTGTCTGTCTTGTTCCCTTAGCACGAAGAGGAGGGAGCGGGGGTATGCCCTCAGCCGCTCCTGCTTCTCCTCCTCTTCCTCTCTCCTCCTCGGGGGCGGTGGGCTGAACGTGGAGTGGGGGGGGGCATCCTCATCTCGAGCTGGACGCCGGTGAGCGAGGAGGGGTCGGGGCTGTAAAGTCCGAGGTGCTGTTTATGACGTTGTACGTGTTCGGTTGCATCGCCAACGAGATGATCCACTTGGCTGACGCCTGGCCGCCGTTCCTCGAACCCCACCTCGGCACGAAGTCTTCGAGCAGTGGGACGTGCCAGCTTCGCATGAGAAGCATGACCATCACGCTGTTGTCCTCCTGGGGCTGCATGGTTTCTCAGCGCGCTCGGCTTAAATTTTCTCGAAGGATACGACCCGTTCGATGAGGTACGTTTTTCTTTGAATGGGCTTCGGCAGTGTTCACGCGTTCTGACCTGATTGCGCAAGTATCTAACACTCGGGCAGCGCGATGCTCTTCTCGTCCTGATTTTGCCATGCCCTCTCCATCTGCTTCAGGGCATCGTTGGTTTTGCTTGAGCTAGCCCAGAATAGTTTCGGCCACGATAGAAGGAGGTCGTTTCCTGTGTCCAGTGTATGTCGCTTCTCTCTCCATGCCCTGCGGGTTGCTCGCATCCCTTTCTGTTGTGCGCTGTCGTCGGGTAAGCACTTTGTTATTGCCCCGTGCAGACTGGAGGATTAATGTAATGCGGATGGCGAGGGACACCAGGATGAGGAGAGGGAGGAAGGAAACGGATGTGGAGCGAGAAGGAGGGGGAGGCCACGAGCAGAAAGAGGAGGGTCAGAAGGAGGGGGGAGGAGGGGGAGGAGGAGGAGGAGGAGGAGGAGGAGGAGGAGGAGGAGGAGGAGGAGGAGGAGGGAGAAGGAGGGGGAGGAAGAGGAAGAGGAGGCGGAGGCGGGGGAGGAGGATCGCCCCCCGTAGCTCGGCAAAGAAGAAGAGGAGGAGGACACGGGCGAATCGTCGCCCCCGCTGCTGGGCAGAGAAGAAAGAGGAGGAGGAGCAGGAGGAGGAGGAGGAGCAGGAGGAGCAGGAGGAGGAGCAGGAGGAGGAGGAGGAGCAGGAGGAGTAGGAGGAGCAGGAGGAGGAGGAGGAGGAGGAGGAGGAGGAGGAGGAGGAGGAGGAGGAGGAGGAGGAGGGGGGTGACCGAAACGGGGAGTGACAGGAACAGGGCCCCTGAAAAGGGGTTCTTTCGGGCCCAGTATTGGGTCCCCCATCTGGGTCACCCCCCTCGTAGCGGCCGCCCGAGAGGGGGAGGGGGGGGAGGGAGGAAAACATCGAGCATCAAAAAGATGAATGCTTAATTTCTCAGGTTCGCCATGAAGTTCTTGGATCGGCGCTGGGCCCCACCTGGGGGGGCCAGCGCAGGTCCAGGGACCTCCGAGAAATTATGGTTACGCCGTCTCCTGTTCCTCTGAGAAGGGCTCGCCCGTCCATCGCGGGAGGCGTTGCCCTGCGGCGCACGGGGGCGACTCGCAGTCCCTTGTCGGGGGCTGCCGGGGTGTTGCCGAGGCATCTTCTCCGTCCGCAGAGATGGCGTTCCCAGAAGGCTTGTGTTCGAGGGTCCCAGCGAGGGCCCCCGGAGGCCGAAAACAACCAAACAGTTCCCTGCGTGATTTGCTGCACGACGCGAGCATATCTGGGCAGGAGGAGGAGGAACAGAGAGGCGGACGGAGCGCATGCCGAACCGATCGGCATCTCGAAGTCTGCAGGAGGAGGGGGACGAGGAGGAGCCTCACGGCAGTGGTGGCCGGCGGATCACGAACCACGAGAAGAGGAAAGACGGGGGCTGGTTCGACGACACGGTGGAGCTGTATTTTCGCAGCCTGCCGATGTGGGGGGGGGTCACACGCTCCGACCTGTCATTTTGGATGTATGACTGGACTTATGATGTTCCAACCTACGTTAGCCTTGACCACCAGGAAGAATTTCGAGCGCCCAAAAAATACCGAAACTAACTCAAGGGTTTTCACCTGTCGGGCCCTGGGAGACACTCGCCCGACACTGTTTCGACACTCTTTTGACACTTTTCCGGGTGCTCGAAATTATTTATGGGATGTGGTCTTTAAGTAGGATGGGAGCAACATAAGACTGGACACTGATTTCGAATGGATTGCGGTCGACGCTCTTTCTGCAGCCTGGCGCCTGGAATTGACATGCCGCGTGCAGGTTGCCCTTCATCGCTCGCTCGCCCGCAGCTTGCTGATACATGAGTGCTCCTCTCTTGGGGATAGATCGAACTATCGCGACTGTGACTGTTGGCTGCGAAGACGGTCGCAACATGGCGACGGGGGCGCCCTGGGGAGGTCGATGGTCACCCTGATCCAGTTCGTCTCCTTTGACAGCGTGGGCCAGATATACAGGCCGATGATTCAG